ACCGACTGACACACATACACACTCACAAGCACAGACACACATACACACTCACAAGCACAGACACACATAGTCATTCTCTCTCTCTCTCTCTCTCACACACACACACACACACACACACACACACACACACACACACACACACACACACACACACACACACACACACACACACACACACACACACACAATATATAAATATATCACACACACACACACAAATATATAAATATATCACACACACACACACACACACACACACACGAATATATATATATATATATATGTGTAAATATATATATATATTCGCAATGTGTATTCTGTTTGGGTTTGCTATATCTGTTCTTTTCGCAAGGCATTACGCCTTTGTTCGATTCGAAATTTGTCTAATCTGTGGTTTATCTCGTCTAGGGATCACAGGGAGGTCAGATACATCGCTTGGACTTTTGACTATGAAGTTCACCAACTTGCTACGGGGGCAGAAGAATGGCACGCTAGACCTCAATCATGCCGCCAAACTGTTGGGAGTACAGAAGCGCCGGATATATGACATCACAAATGTGCTGGAGGGCATAGGCCTGATTGATAAAAAGTCTAAAAATATAATGATGTGGAGGTATGCTGCGGGTGAATCTTGTGTATATACATGGATAAGTGTTGCTTTGCTTTTTTGTTGTTTGGCACCGATGAATTTGAGCATATGCAGCGACGTAGGAAACACAGATATGTATTTTTTTCCTCTTGCTAATGTGCCATACAGTGGGAAGCGCTGGGCAGAAAGCGAAATTTTGCAACGGGCACACGTTCTACTAGATCACAGGTGCCTATGTAGACTTTTTGCAGCCAAGTACGGGGTATTCATTTAATGAACTTGTTTTTGGTTGTTCTTATTAACAGAGACGATCACCCGGAAGGGATACCAAAGTCTGAGGCGGAGATTGCCGACCACATCGAGATGTTAGAACAAGAGATTAAGGACATGATACAAGAAGAGATGACCATTGAGAGGCACTACAACACGCTCATAGAGAGCATGAAGCAGCAAGATGAGGACCAAAGCACCCTGCCCTACAGGTACATCTCATGCGACGAGATGATGAAGCTACCTTCGTTCAAAGATCAAACAACGATAGCCGTATGCACGCCTCAGGGGGTCAACGGCACGATGCTGACCTACATGCCTATTACAGGGAAAGATGGTAAGGAGTTGTTCCAGTTGGAGATAACCAATGATAACGACCACCCGTTGGACGCGTTTCTGGTTGCCAGCGAAGGGATGCAGAATCTTAAGACCCTCGATGGCAGCGGTACTGACGATGAGGCGGATGGGGACCAGTATGCAAATGGGCCCGAAAACCCTGGTATGGAGTCTGGGGTGTTCTCACCCCCAGAGTTTGCGGAGGATCAGGCCTTACAAGAAGACCGTGGCGTGTATACAGCGCAGCTCACGCGAAGGATTCCACAGGGTACACAGACACAAACACAGGCACAGTCACAGTCGCGTAAGCGAGACAAGGCGAGTAGCAAGGCTAAACAGGCAGAAAGCGGGACCGGTGAGGATCGGGAGGGCTCCAGTTCTAAGCCAAGGGAGAAGTCTTGTAAGTTTGGGATGTGATTTTATTGTGTTTTTGATGCATGTGTTTTTGGATTTTCCCGAATGCGAAACTGCGCCAGTCTATTCAAAATTTTATATGATGAGAGTACCTTTAATCGATACGCTTTGTTGTGATAAGTCATCCATCTCGATACTGCACCTCCCATTTGTGTATTGTCTTTATAACCCAACTACATCACAACAGAGAAGTGGGGTTATGTAAATCGGTCAGTTGTACCAAGTAGGTGCGTATTGCTTCTCTAAACATGTAATTCACATCAATCTCTCTTCTTCACCTTGCCCTACTTCCCTGGATGTGCTTGTTTAGCGGCATCCCTGATCAAACTAGAGCCGCCCGCGGTCGATACCGAGTTCTACTACAGTCTGGACCACAGCGAAGGCGTGTCCGACATGTTCGATTTGAAATAGTGTGGCAAAGTCCTCTAAGGACGACTCTATACATATGATAATAATGATATGATATGATATGATACAATCATTCAATTCTGCTACCGGGGGTACGTGTAGTAGCGGTGTTGAGACTACGCCACCGTGCATTGTAAAATATCTATGTATGTGGCCCCGTTCGAATGTACTACGGGTGTGGGTAGAGAACACCTCAACTGGCGGATGAGATGGAGACGTAGCTGGCTTTGGTGCGCAATAGTGTTGGGAGTTCTCGTCTGGCATGCTGTGCATATACCTACTTCCGGCAGAGGGTGTGTCATTGGATGCCGAAGTTGCACACTAAGTTGACCACGCCTCAGATCTCACCGAAATAGACAACAATTCTTTACTTACCATCCCATGGTGGACTAGTCACTGATGAGCCAATCGAATTAGGACGTGGAATCGCCTGCAGTGTGCTTGTGTGCGCCGAGTGGGTAGAGTGTGGGCGGTGAGGCAATACACTACGGATCATCGATACATTAGGGCCGACCCAGAGCACAGGCTCTTGCAACCCACTCATACTTACGACGGAAGTGCGGTACCTTATGTAAGTTATCACTAAGTCCGGCTCGCGAACATGCCTGTAGTGTCTATATGGGTTTCCAAAAGGTCTTCTTTCTTTAGGAAATATTCTTTGATACTCTTGAGTGCTTGTCGTCAGCGTTCTATGCAAAACACAAAGGGCTGTCTTTTAAGCGATGACCTGTGCAACCCTAGATAGGACACGAGCCACGTACTGAAGCATGCGACAGAGTATTTCACGATAGAACATATCACAACAAATCTCATCACTTTACATACATCAGTCGCCACATATCGCATATCACATCATATAATTACATTGAGCTATACGCGTACTTCACATCAGGATGTACGTGTATATCGTATGTCTCATAGGCATTCGGCGGTCGAGCTTGTGCGTCGTTACGTTTTCGTGACAGTATTATAATATACCAAAAAGCAAAACATGACATAGTGTACCATTATCTTGACCTCTCTGCCTGACAGAACGTCTGATCATGCGATCCCTTGTCGTAGGTTTGCTTTAAAAACTTAGGTTTGGGCGGAGTCGTGGAGCTCTAGAAAAAAAAAGGAATCTCAATTAAAATGAGTTGGACTAAAATGACTGGTTCTACACAAAGCCCAGGCTGTAACTGTTTGTTCAAATTATTTGTTCATTCCGGCCAAAAATGCATCAAACTCTTTTTCAACCCCAACCCGGGCCCAGCGTTCTAGGCTCCAGTCCATCTGCTGTCTGTCTGTCTGTGTTTGAATGTCAGAGGTGAATAATATTACAAGCCCAATAACCAAGGCCCAAGACTCATCGTGAATGTAGTACATGACCCTTTGGATTGGGTCATTTTCCGTCAGTCTTATTATTTTCATCTCAACTCTCTCTAGTAGTAGAGGGTTATTATGCCGTGAGAGAAACCTACTACAGAGAAACCTAGTAGTAGGCTAATCCAGAGACCAGAGGGCCAAGGGCCCATGACTCCGTGGGTCCATGTATACTTTATTTCCGCTGGAGAGCCTAATCTAGGGCCTACTCTCACTCTCGCTCTAGAGAGAGAGTAGTAAATACATAGTAGAATAGTAAAGACCTATTTACTCACTCCTCTAAAGAACCCTTTGTAAGGGCCTTATTTTTGAAATTAAATCCAGAGAGTGAGAAAAAAAACAAGAGAAAAACATCCAACAACGTCTTATGCCGAATAAAAGCCGTGTCGTCCAAATATGGTGCATTTGCCTTTTCGGCGGCAGATCGGTGGCATCCTCGATTACGGTATTTATACCCAGTCACCTTCCCCATACTCTAATGCATCTAAATATGCTTTTTATGCGGAAGTATTGTTCAAGTATATCCTCTAAAAGTAGTTTGTTTAGCATACGCGTAGCACATCTTGTCGTTATACCACAAGAGAACAATGCTAAGATGTCTGTGGCGTCAGAAAATTTTATTACGGACAAAAACAAGCCGCGGCATGGCAAGTACGCAACTACCCGGGCAAGTGCCTGCACAGCCTCAACGCCCTAATATCGTAAGTGATGTAGTGACAAGGTGTGACTTGAACAAACCCAAAAGTTCCTCCGTTTGCTTAAAATATCATGTGTCTAGGCAACTCCACAGATTCCTAATCCACCAAGATACAGGCCATATAGCTATGCCAAAAACTGTAGTACTTCCTCCATGTGCTGGATATGTTACTGTGCAAGTGGTCATTTGCATCTGAGACTTCGAATTCAGATAGAATCTTACCAAGGTGAACATGTTGGAATACATATTTTGGGTATTTGGTTGCTATATACCACACCGTGGTATATTTACATTTGTTTTTTCTGAATCCTAACACCATACCATGTTTGATATGAATACATGCCGTTGAAAATAGCATATCAACATTTCATTTCTATCAGTAGATAGCGCTACAAGTATCATAATATATTAGCCGTACCTGATACAAAAGTTTTGTGTGACATTTATTATAAAATCTTCTCTAGTTGAGGCCTAGTGGGATAGTATTGGCTTCTGTGTTGTGAGGCGAATGCGGATTGCGGTTGAATATCATGAGGTTCGGTTGTTTGCTTTTACAATCCTGACACACTCGCTTGAGGCATGAGCAAGCTGATACATTATTGCACTACACAGTTTATGCTCTCGCTTGTGAAGTAGTTTTACATTTCAAAGCACTTTAAAAGTTTTGAACGTAAAGGGGTGCCAGAAGCAGCAGACGCAAATATAGGCCTATCTAGAGACAGTTTTCCTTCGTCTCCATGATGTCAGTCTCCACAAAAAATGCTATAGTATCGTTATGTCAATTCCTGTATTTTCGCTGTGCTCTGTCAAAAATAGATGTGCTTAACAGATGGTATAATTCCCCCATCGTGTACAATGCGAATTAATATATATATTTATAAATATATATTTACGCAGAGCTGAAGTTCAAAATATGATCCTCGGCACACTAGATGGCAGACACGCAATAAAAGGTGAATGACTGTGCGAATGAATTCCAAAATATACAGTAACCCTTTTGGTTCACATATTGCTTGTACGAATTTACAGCCTAAAGCGCTGCCTACTGGCACATATGAGAGACTCGTCAGAGGATTAGACGAGAATGGGCAAGAACTCTCAGGGGACGCTATTGTGGAGCCGAATGACGAGTTGCCTAAGCCCTGGAACATGGCAGATTTGTATGTCCGAAATGCGGAGGGGGAGGGGAAAACTAAATTAAAAAGGGTATGTTTTATGTGCCTTCGTGTTTTGCTGGATAGCCGCTTATGGCTGAGCCGCTTATGGCTGGGATAATTATGACGAGCGGTAAAGTTATGTACATATGGAACATTCGCGTGGACAAATAGTGCACATTGCAGATGCGTACAGCGTATGCAGCAAAACAAGCCAAAGATACCTACCCGGAAAAAAGGGGAGCTACGTGTATGATTGCGGTCTGCAAGTCTTTGCATCGGGTTTGTCGTATGGTACTGGATATTCCCAATTTTATCGATCGTAGGTATATGAGCTGCAGAACGTCTCAGTATATTAAGGAACACTCAGCTAATTTTCCCCGCGACTTCGAGGACGCACTTCCGCCTAGATCTTGTATACTGCAGTGTCGTTTCTTATCTGGGGTGTATCTGATGCACCACACTGTGTACTGCCATTGATTCTATTGTAGTATCCTCGATGTACGAATTTTCATTATAGTTACTTCGAATTTATAACTCACTCGTTCTTGTACTGTGTAGCTGCTGCCGCCATTCTGGCCCACGGACATCATCTGCTGTGGACTCAACTACATTGACCACGCCGACGAAGTGGGCTTAGACATTCCTAAGAACCCTGTCCTGTTCGCCAAGCCCAAGTCATGCTTAGTGGGTCATGGAGGTACCGTTGTTCCGCGTCGTTTGCTCTTGTTCCGGGTTACTTTTGATTGTGAATATAATTCAAGATCTTGTGCTGTGAATTGTCAGTTTGTAAGTGTACTCAACATAAACGCTGCCCCACAGTTACCATAAGGAAAATACTTTTATTTTTATCGATGTATCTTCCTGACTGAGCTATTTCTAGTTGTTATCAAGTTGTGAAGCCATCAAGGCTTCAGTAATAGGTATGGATCGCCAAGTGCCTTCTCTGGTTCTGGATGTGCCAATCACCTATTTATGTGCAAGCTCCTTGTTGCTGGAGATCTGCTTTCAGCACAATTCCTGGTGTGCCGCTCCTGCATAGAGCTGTTACCTACACGGATATACACGACCCTTCGCCGTAAATTAATATTGCATTTTTTCTCTTACTTTTCTGATGTCGTTGCAACAGAAAATATTGTGATACCCGCGTGTGCGAGTGCGAAGCCAGAGATAGATTATGAAGCCGAGCTGGCCATTGTCATTGGCGAGACATGTCGGGACGTATCTGAAGAGGACGCTCTGAAGGTTGTCTATGGCTACACTATCTGCAATGATGTATCAGCAAGGCGCTGGCAGGGTATCAAGGTCTGTCCAGATTTACGTTGTAGGTTCGTTGATTGTTTTACCAGGCCTTCCGACAAACAGATTGTTTTAGTAAATTATCATGGTGGATGGTCTTATATATAGTGCGGACGTGCTTTTACGGATAATTTAGGCTTGCCCAGGAATGAGAAATTCTTCGTGTCTCTGTACTATTTGATACATTTGTATTCCAAAAGTAAGATCATATACTTAAGGTAAACCCAAATGTTGCTTGAAAGCAGCGATACCAAGTAGCCGTCGCATCGCCTGTATTTTTCCGATGCAATCGTTCAACCCCCTATTTTTCGAAATTGTGTTAAAATCGGATTAGAGGTACACCTTAGTATATAAATATATACATACTTATATATATATATATATATATATATATATATATATATATATACTATATATATATATATATATATATATATATATACTAACACACACACACACACACACACACACACACACACACACACACACACACACA